GAGAGCAGTGCACCCTGGGAGTGACATCAAGGATGACTTCAGACCTTACGGAGAGCCACAACTTTGGGCATGGCACTGGGCTAGTCTCCGAACTTGTGGAGATGGTGAACTTGGAAATCGCTTCCTCCCCATGACCTTGTGGTGCTATTTGATGCTACATAACATAGTCAGGTGTGATTACATACATGTATGCATGCACATGTGATAGGAGTCAGTGTATTGTTGTTAAGTGCTGTCGAGTCGGTTCCCGACTCACAGCGTCTCTCTGTAGTTTTCAAAGAGAGACCTAGTGGTCAGCAGTCTAGTGCTTATCCTATGGCGCCACATTAGGGTTCCTAGAAATTCCTGTTCTTGCTAAAAATATATTGCTGCATTTACTACAAAGAGCTTTATTTTACCTATGCTATTGTTATTGTTGTGGTTAAGCGTCGTTGAGTTGGTTCCGACCCATAGCAACCCTGTATATGGTTTCCCAGGGGTGGCTGGTGAGCTGGAAATGTGTGGTCCCAGTGACCTTGCAGTCCAGCGCTAACCCACAGCCCCACACTAGGACTCCATCTATGCTGTTCTGTTAGCCAGTAATCACTGAGCTGTGGTAATAGAGACTGTACGTTCCTTACGAATTTTACTGATTTCAGGTAATATTTTTACTGAATTTTACAACTTTCAGTCTATTCAAAACCAGGAATCCACTGGTGTATGTGTGTGTGTGTGTGTGTGAGTTAACCCAGGATATGCCCCATCATGACTGGGGTAGAGAAGGATGGGAGTGTTTTCAGGGTTGTGCAGTGACTGCCCCCGGAAGCCGTTTTCTGCCTTTCCCACATCACTTGTGTTTCCTGTTGGCATAGTATACAGCATGTGGATCCCAGGAGGCTGGGTTGGGACCACAGGGCAGAATCAGAACATTGGGAAATTCAATCTTTGTTTTCTTTCATTGGTTACAACTTTGAAAATGTGATTTTAATGGTGTGTTTTCAGATATTTGGATGAAGACTCTCCTAATTTATTTTCCCCTACAGGAAGCGGCTCTTGAAGCTCATCTTGTCCCTGTCTTGCACTCTCTGTGGCCGTGGTTTCTGATGGATGACTCACTCATGCAGGTCGTCCTCCAGCTGCTTTGTGTCTACACCGCAAATTACCCCAGTGGTAAGTCCACTACGGCTGTACTGCGGTGTGTTAAGAGTCTACACTGCAGATCACCCCGGTGGTGAGTCCACTAAGGCTGTACTGTGGTGTACTAGTGTCCATACCGCAGATCACCCTGGTGGTAGGACTTCTGGTTTGGCATTATAGGATAAGCACTGGACTGTGAACCACAATGTCAACAGTTCAAACCCACCAGCAGCTCCTTCGGAACCTGAGACAGGATCGCTGTGAGTTGGAACAGACTCGATGGCACTTAACCACAACAGCAGCCCCCGTGGTAAATCTGAGTTTGTCCAGTGGTATGCTGGAGCCTAAAGCGCAGACCATCCCAGCGATAAATCTATGCTAGTTGATGTTTTTGTTAAGTGCCTTCGAGTTGGTTCTGGCTCCTCGTTGTGAAGTAGGATCTAGTCGGTTCCACCTCGTAATGACATTATGCACAACAACTGCTGGGCCTGCACCAACCTCACAATCTGTGTTATACTTGAGCCCACTGCTGTTACTGCTGTGTCGGTCCATCTTGTTGGGGAGTCGTCGTCTTTGTCACTGACCCTCCACTTTACTCAGCGTAATGAATGTCCTGAAAAAATGAGAGACGAAGCCTCGCAGTCGTGTATTCTGAGGAGCATTCTGGATGTACTTTTTCCAACCGAGAATTGTTTCATCTGACAATCCATGATACTTCTAATGATATTTTCCAGCACCGTAACTCAGATGGATCAATTCCTCTACAGTCCTCCGTATTCACTGTCCAGCTTTCATTTGCATATAAGACTATGGAAAATACCACGGCCTGGGTCAGGCGCACCTTAGTCCTTAAACAGGCACCTTTGCTCTTGAATATTTGTCTAGTTTTGTCTAGTGCAATTGCATCATTTGATTTCTTAACTGCTACTTCCTAAACTTTACCTAAACTTTCAAAATTATCCCTCAGGGTTTTCTTATAAAACTTTCTGATAGAGCATTCTTGGATGAATGTTTTGTCACTCAGTATATCTTTTGTCTATAAGGGAAGCAGCAGTCAAGAAATCAAAGGACGTATTGCATTAGGCAAATCTGCTGCACAAGACCTTTTTAAAGTGTTGAGGAGCAGAGATGTCAGCTTGAGGACTAAGGTGAGCCTGACCCAAACCGTGGTGTTTTCAATAACCTCATATGCATGCGAAGGCTGGACAGTGAATAAGGATGACCGTAGAAGAATTGATTCTTTTGACTTTCAGTGTTGGAGGAGAATAGTGAAGTATCGTGGGCTACCCTGTTTGCTGTGGACCTGGAGCAGGTCTTTGGGTGTGTCTGAGTTAGCTCATACCTTCATCAACCAAATGGGCGTTCTGAGCCGCAGCGCTCTAAGTCCCTTTTCTGTTCTTTAGAGTGAAGGTGCTGCCCTCAGTCCGCTCCCGCCTCCACTGACGTCTTACTCAGCTCTGCCGTGGAGCCGCCGTGTGACTGCTCTTGTCTGTTGTGCAGGTTGCAGCTCTCTTTGTTGGGCCCCTTCTGCTCAGTACCCCGTCCAGCCTGCTTGCAGAGGGCCTCCCAGCAGCTCCCTGATGGTCTGCATCATCAAGTTGGTGTCCCACATGCCTCTGGAGAACAGTGCCATCCAGCAGACGGCCTTCCTCTTCCTCTCCAACCTCGCCTTGTCCCACGATTGCAAAGGGGTCCTTCAGAAGGTGAGCACCGTGTGGGTCCACTAAGAACACTGGCAAGTCTGGAACCCAAACTCGGGGGTTAGTTTATTGTGACTTCGAGACACTGTGTACTGAAGGGACTGAAGAAGGTGAGAGGCTCACTCTGCTTCCAGCCCGCTGATGGAGGCATGAGGCCACATTTGGAGATTGCATTTCCACTGAGTTCCTCCTCCTCATATTAGGTTTGTGCTTCCCTTCAGCTCTGCTTGATTTGTGACCCTGAAGGTGACGTGTCTGCTCTTTAAACAGACCGGATTGACTCGGACGGTTTCTGGTCATTCTTGGCGGAATGGTTTCAGAAATCAAAGCCCTCTCCCTCTCACTGTGTTGTGACGTAACAGCTGTTCATTCTTTCATGGGTCTTTGGAGTCAGAACTGGCCTTCTTCTCACTGACTGTCGCCGGGGTACTAGAAAAAAGGTCAGAGGGTAAGCACACCCTCGTCTGTGTGGTCAGTGAGAGTCCCTGTTAGATGTGTGTGAATGGAAGGCCTGATTCGGGTGAGTCCCCATAGTGTGGCTCTGCCCCTGCTGCCCGTGACTTATTAGCAAGGTCGAGGGAAGGGTCTGGGTCTCTGCACGCACCCGTCTTTCCCTCTGCTGTGGGGCTGTGGGTCTCCCCTGAAGTTACACCCACACGGCAGGCAGCATGTAAGTAAGGTTTCAGCAGGGGTGGGAGCCAGGCACAGGTCCTCAGGAATGCTGCGTGACAGTTGAATGTGGTGTGTTCTTGAAATCGGCTGCGGTTGGAACGGATACATACATGAATCAGGGCACCCTGCCCCATCGGGCCTAGTTGGAACGGACACATCGGTAGGAAGGACAAATGCGTAAATCAAGGCGCCCCGCCCCATCAGGCCCAGTTGTTAGACACATCCCAGCACTCGGCCAGCTGTTGTCTCTGTGCCCACATACGATGCCACCTGGACCATTTGCACGTGAGTCGCAGCCTTGCCACTGTGTGAGCTGAAGACAGGGCGACAGGGGCTGAAGTTGGAGTCCCAGGTGGACGCCAGTAACTTGAGGCGTGTGGTGTGTGACCATGAACCTGAGGTTCACCCTACGCCCCACGTCCTTCATTTTAAATGTCATCCCGTGACACCCAGGGGCCTCAGTGTGTGATTGCAGTTGTGCTGCTACTGTACTTGAGAAGGTTCTGGTTCTGTTCCATCCACTCAGGTCTCAGAGGCCAGCCAGTGGCATGGTTTTCCTCTGCTCCACACCTGAGGCTCAAGGCTTCCTGTGTGTGTAACCACCCTCACCATGGGCAGGGCCGCAGGAACACAGCGGCACAACTCACCTGCGGAAACACCCAGTGTCTCTTCAAGGACCCGCACCACAAACCCTAGACAGGGCCACTATGGGTCGGAACCGAATCTATGGCACTTAACAATAACAACAATGCCCTTAGGCCCTGCAGAAAAGAAGTGTGCCAACACGACATACGTTCTATCTCCATGCCAGCCGCAGTCACCAATGTCATGGTAGAGTCTTGCTGAACTCTGTAGGATGAGCTTCTAGTTTCGGTGGAGAGAGGCATGTTCATGGGCATGTGGCTGTGCAGTTCCTTCATTGCCCGGGTCTGCTGCTATAGCTCCTACAGTTCCGTGACACCAACTTCATTATCTGTTTGTGTATAGATTGTTGTAGACAGAGATGCATTGTCGGGGAGTGATGGCTATGGTGGGGCTTTGTGGAAAGGGTTCTGGTGAAGGCTGTACCAACTGTCACAGTTCCGGTAAGGAAGCTTTCGCAGCTGTAAATGGGATGCAGGGCCCCCCAGCCAGGACAGGCGGCTGTCGGCAGTGAGACGATCTGGTGTCTCACACTTGTGGCTCTCATGATCCACAACACCCTCCCGCCTACTAGGATGGTCACTGGTATCCAAGACGCTGACATGGGGTTGTTTGTTTTCCTTCCCAGAGAACCGTTTTTAATAAGTAGCAAAATTACCAGAAGGCAGGCAGAAAGCGAAAACTCAGAAGCCTGAAATGACACCCATTTGAGTTGCCTATCATAAATAACTAGTCATTGAGTGGATTTTACAGCATCCGTTACCAGAAAAGGATTAGTAAGAGTTAAAATTTGAGCACCCTTAGATCTCTTACCTTTTCCACGTATACATGGAAATAATATCAATCATTTGGAAGGGGGGTTAGGAGGAAGGTAAGGTCAGAGCCAGGGAAGGAATCCAGATACTGGTTCATATTGATGGGGGGTGTGGTGGGGTGAGGAGGGAGGTGTAGCGCTGTAGGATCACTGGACTGCTAACTACAAGGTTGGTGGTTCAAACCCACCAACTGCTCCTTGAAAACCCTACACGGAGTCGCTGTGAGTTGGAACCAACTCGATGGTGCTGAATAGCAGCAGCAACAGGAAGAAGGTGGGAGTACAGTCGGGGGAGGAATCAGCGTGCTGGCTGCCTGGGCGCTAAGGGCCCGGGGAAACCACCAGAAAGACAGCCTGTTTTCTCTGTCCACCCACAGAGCAACTTCTTACAGAACTTTCTGTCTGTGGCCTTGCCGAAAGGAGGGAACAAGCATCTCAGTCACGTGGCCACCCTGTGGCTGAAGCTGCTCCTAAACATGTCGCTGGGAGAGGACGGGCAGCAGATGATCCTGCGGCTGGACGGCGGCCTGGAGCTGCTCACTGAGCTGAGCAAGTTCAAGCACAAGCGCGGGCCCTCCCTCCCTCTCCTCATCTTTCACAACCTCTGCTTCGGTCCTGCCAACAAGCCCAAGATACTGGCCAACGGTGAGTGTAACGCAGGCACATACATGCACACTCACACCAGGGCTCACACACACGGGCATGTGTGCACCTGGGTACACGTGGGCACATATTCACACACACACACACCTATGCTGGGTACGTGCACACAGGTACCCACAGGTACATACATAGGGCACGCAAACATGTACAGACACCCGGCACGTGTGCACGTGGGTACATGTGGGCACATGCACGCACACACACACACACACACGCCAGGTACACGCACACAGGTACGCACAGCTACATACACAGGGCACACACACACAAGCCGACACATGCTGGGTACATGCATGCAGGTACCCACAGGTGCTTACACAGGGCACACACACATACAGACACACGGGTACGTGTGCACCCAGGTACACATGGGCACATGCACACAAATATGCCGGGTACATTCACACAGCCACATACACGCACATGGACACATGGTTACATGCCTTCATATGCACACACCTGTACATGTGCATATACACACAGGTGCATACACACACATGCAGGTACGTGGGCTTGTTCGCAGAGTCTTCATTCAGAGAGAAACACTGAACGCCCCTGTGTGACCATTTATGGGTTTGGTAGGTGAGCAGGGGGCAGGTGGTGGGGATGAGATACAGGGGCTTGGCCTCTCAGGGGCTGCTGAGCTCCCAGGGTGAGCACCGTGTTGTGTGCACACAGGAGGACACTGAAGTGGGGCGGGGGGTGGGGGGGCAGGAACTGTGGTCATGTGTCGGCCCTCTGCTATATACTCACTTCCCAGCTCGTTAGCGGGGGGACTAGCCCTGCGTTTCTGTTTTCCATAGAGCTGGGGAGAGGGAAGGTTTGGAGGGAGTCGAAGGAAGGGCGATCTTTCTCTGCGTCTTGATCCCTCCACATTCACTTTCTGAGTTTTCTTGTAGTCAGCGCTGCCTGCCCACCTTCCATGAACCAGCGAGTAAACTTTGGGAACAGGCCCCCAGTTCCCTGAGGCTGAGACGGGCCCAGGGGCAGCTGGAAAGGACTTGTCGTTGGGTCCCTTCCACCCAGGTGACTGTGGTTGTGACGCCCCGACGTCTGATGTGAGCTCGCTGTTAAAACAGGTCCTCTAGCCCCGTTCCCAGTCCTGTCAGGGGTGCCCTCCTCCGGAAATATCACGATCTGGGTTCACGTTACAAACCTCCAGAGCGTCCAGGACAGTCTGAGAGCCTGTGTTTGTGCGCTTGTTCCCCGGTGCCCAGGGTAAGAGTCACAAACAAGACTCCAAGGTGGGAAGCCTTCTGGGGGGCTTCCCATGCTGAGCGACCCCCACACTCCTGCCCTCTGGGGATGAGGAAGAATGGAATAAGAGTGAAGAACAGAAAAGAGATCTGTGAGGAGGGGACCTCTGCCCCTGATCTGTCCTGTCTCCTGCCAGGCACCGCCACAAGGACGTTTCCAAGCTCAGGGGCCGAGATAACTAGACACGTGCACGTGTGAGAACCAGCCTGGGGAACAGACCCCATTTAAAACTCCCTTTAATCATCCCGGGGTGATTGTGCTGTGTCTAGGTGACTTGATGAGGAGTCACTGGGTGCTGGGAAGGCTGAAGCACCCCAATACGAGTCCAGAGATGTTAGAACCGATCCAGAGGTGCCTTGGAAGACAGGATGAGTGTTTCCAACAGTCTCCTCTGACAACAGAAACATAGCCCTCTTAACACATTTGTCCCTTCTGTGGAATGGGTCAGCGCATGCTGTGATGTGTTGGCGTCATTTATAGGGAAACGACCCATTTTTGGCTTTCCGAACAAGAGGTATGTCTGAGTGAAGTGTTAACATTAGAGAGCTTCAGAAAGTTTGTGGAAAATGTAACGGAATTTTCCCAGGAACTTTGTGAAGCCCCTCGCTTCTGCACCGTGGTCTTTAGGTGGAAGTGGGCCCCACCTGCCCTGTGCCTGTCAGGAGAACAGTTTGTCTGAGAGTGTCCCACAATGTACCGGTACATACGGTGTAAAGACTGTTTCTTGGAGTCTAGCCGTAGCAGCTCTGTGTGAATTTTGGTGGGAAAAGGGGGCAGCTGACTGGTCCAAGGTAAGAATATAGTGTCGTGAGCATGACAGACCTGTTTAAATTTTATGTCTTTGTCATTAGAAAAAGTCCTTGGCGTGCTAGCTGCCTGCTTGGAAAGTGAGAATCAAAATGCTCAGAGGCTCGGGGCCGCCGCACTGTGGGCCTTGACTCACAATTCTCAGAAGGTCAGTGTTGGAGTTATCGTTGCACCCAGGGGAGAAGGCCGGGGCTCTGTGTAGCTCCCCCTCAGAGCCACCCTGTCTGGGCAGCAGCGAAGGGAGCACTGCCCAGTCCCTGCTCCCTCCTGAAAACTGTCGTCCTGTCTGAGCTCATTGCTGCTACCGCTCTGTCAGTCTGTCTTTGTTGTGGGTCTTCCTCTTTGTCCCCAAGCACGATGTCCTTCTCCAGGGACTCGTCCCTCCTGACAACACTGCTAAAGGACCAGAGACCAAGTCTGTCCATCCTCTCTGTTTTCATTCCACTAGTGCACTGGAGTCAGGCTTCCTCATTTAACCCTTTCAGCATGGCTTCTCAGGTCTGCAGAGTCCTCCTTCTGCTGGCTGAGTCCTGGGAGTTTACACTGATGTGAGTTAGTTTAGATCGTTTCCTCTGAAAATATACTTCAAGGAAATTGCCTCTTAAAATAAAACCTAATAAGAGACTTTCATCCAGGTACCCCTGTCCCCTCTCTACTCGCCATTGTCCTTGGATTTGCTAATGATCTCAGGTTGGCAGTAGGACCCGGTCTGGGCCAGCTGTTCTCTTGCCCAGTTTTCAGCTTCATTGTAGACACCTGCCCCCTGGGCTGTCTGTGTGCGTCTATGTGATTAAGTAGCTAGACAACGTAGGGAGGCCAGATGCCAGGCGGGGCTGGGCTGAGCTGGCTGCCCTGCTCTGTGCACATGTGTCCACACAGGCTGTAGTCCTCGTCTAGCATGACAGATTTGTCCTAGGCCCCATGGCGTCCCTGGGCCTTGGCGTAGCATGTGACATGTCAGAGTTTTCTGCTCAGTCTGTCGTTGTGGGATGCAGCATCTTAACAATCCCGTGTGACAGCACAGACTGCTCTTGTAGGGTCCCTAGACTGTCATCTTCAGAGGAACCGATCACCAGGTCGTTCCCACAGAGCCGTTGCTTGGTTCACATTGCTGACCTTCGGGTTAGCAGCTGAGAACTGGATCCCTGCTCCTCCAGGGCTCCTGAGTGGTCTGTGTCTTTGATCTGAAATCGGAGGCTTGAGGGAGCATGAAATGCTGCTTCACTGACCTGAGGTTGAGAAGCCTGAGATTGGGGGCGGTAGAGAACTTGGGTCAGACGGGGAGGGAGGCGGGCTGGACTCCAGGTTCTCTAGCTGTGTCCATATGTCCGTATACTTTATTATAACGTCCTGTTGAGTACCAGAGTCAGCGAGGAGCACTGTGGGACCCGATCTCTAACACTGAGCACGTCTAATTCGTACATGACTCTGTCTCTCCAGGCAAGAGCAACTCTGAGGAATCCATCAATAAAGAGAAGAGTGGACGAAGCCTATTCCTTAGCAAGGAAAAGTAAGTGTCACTTGTAATGAGATCGTGGTTAGACTCAGGAGCTAAGTAAATTCTCTGATGAATGAAATATTTGGACCGTCTGCTCCACTGATGTGTGTCTAGTCTAGGCTTCCGAGGGCTGTTTTCTCACAGCGCTGTGAAATGTGCTCACCATGACATTCTTTCAATAATAAACACTCTGATAATCTGAGTTTGAGACACGATTGCTTCCTAAAACATGCCTGTGATCTCTCTTTTGAGTTTTTTTCTTGTGATAAGAACTCGGCCCAATTAGAATAGAAAACGTGGCTCTTGCATAAGGGCGCTGAATCCCAGGCTCCCAAGACTAGATTCCATTTCTGCTGACCCCGTGCGGCCGTAGCCATTGCTGACATGAGATAGGCACTTCCTTTACAAGAAAGGCCACTGCAGTTTTCTCTCACTGGACAGCCATCTCCCGACCTAGTAAATGCCAAGTCGGGAGGCTGGACAGTATCTGCCCAGGCCTGGTCATTGGTGTGTGGTTGTTCATGACCTTCTAAAGTCTGACTTTTTAGAAACAGTGAATACCTGAGCCCTGTTAGCCTTATGGCTCGGAGGGGATGGCACAATAAAGAACTGTTCTTGTTAGGGGCCAGGTGGGCTTCAGGGTCCCAGCGGCCTTAGGCACCTGGAAGCAAACCGCTGTGTGGTCCTGCTCTCCCCCGGTGGTAGAGGGCTTTCAGTGGGAAGTGGACTGCCAGGTCTGTTTTCCTCGCCTGGTTTAGTCTGGAAGCTCGGCTGAAAGCTCATCACAGCAACACACAAGTCTCCACACACAGATGGGCACGGGCTGCCTCTCAGGTACACTGGCCGGGGGTCAAACCCAGGCCTTCCGCTTGGAAGGTGCATTTTCATCTCGGGTGAGCGTTTCTGGTATCACTATGGGTGTGTATTGTTTGATTTATGCCGCTTGAGAAAACTAGTAATAAAAACATGTAAATTCTCTACATATTTTCAAAATCTGAAATATTTTAATGCGGCGTGCACTAAGGCGGCCTGTGGGACTTTAGATAGTGTACACCCCTGTCCCCGTGGTTACATGCGCATCTCCTCAGGAGAGCCATGTTTAATGTGCTGGTGTTCCCACGCTCCCATCTCTCTGTCGCAGCCTTCTCTGATGCCCAGGAACACTCGCTCAGTGCCTACTACCTGCTGTGTCTGGAGAACCTCGTGCAGCTGCTCGCCTCCTCCTGAGCCCTGAGAGGGCCGCACCCCGACTGTGGCCACCAGGCTGGAGGGCAGCGCGCTGGGGATGGTGTGTCAGTTCCATCCATACAGCGGCTCATCGGACAGCTGGACACCAAGAGGGCAGAGAGGGAGGCTCGGCGCGTTGCCAGACGTGCACACTTCCCCCTTTTCCTATGCAATTTGCTTTGTGAAAATCTTATTTAACAATTATTTAATAAAATAAAGTATTTTTGGAACAGAGAACTGACTGCTGTTTGTGGGCTTGTTATATCAGTCCCAAGAATATACCTTTTTTTCCTCTGTCATTTTCTGTGGGTTTTTTTTGTGTGTGTGTGGTGGTGGCGGGGATGTACACTAAAACACTCGGGTTCATATAATCATTTAAACAATCACAGGACACATTCTGCAAGCCTGTCTCCTGGCCGCCAGTACTCAGTCCCTCTCTTTCCATGAGTCTGGAGTCCTCAGCTGCTCCCTCTCTCCATGTCCCCATTTATGCCTCCAACTCTGGTGTCGCTGCTTCTCTGGATAGGGTTCCACATTCTGCCTGTGCTCTTCTCCCTGGATGGTCCTAGGGTCCTCTGTCTCTGGACTCTAAGATTAACCACTCCCCCCTTAAGAGTATACATTTTAAGACTTCAAAGGAAGACATTGTGTTCTAGTTTCCATTAAAAAAACAAAAAACAAACGTTGACATGAAATTTGCCTCTTTTCTCACCAAAATGCTTTATGTAAAGAGTCACGTCATCCAGAACAACCCCAGCGTGAAGGACTTCGTGTGTGGAAGCGGGTGCACGTTTGTGAGCAGTTTGTGCAATCTTAGCTCCTTCCCATGTGATCTATGGGCTCTGACGGTTCAAACCCACCAGCTGCTACTTGGAAACCCTGTGCAGGGTCGCTATGAGTCAGAACTGACTCCACGGCACTTAACAACAACAATGTTGTGCCATTTATAAGTTAGATTTTAAAATGTTCCACTCTGGCTTCTGAAACTCAGCGCAGTGAAGAATAACAGTCTCTGGTCGGTCTCACAGGCCTGGATTCAAGTTCATGTTTGGCCCATGCTTGGGAAATCTCATTCCAATAGCAGGAATGTTAGGGATTCTTTTCCCTCTTGTCTCCTTTCTTACATTTTATGACATTTTCTTTGTACTCCATTAGCCCTCCCTGGTGAATAAAAGGAGATGAATTACATTCCAGCATTCACTCAGATAACGTCTGATGTATCCTTGCTGAGATTCTACCAGAAGCCCTGGTCTGAAAGGTCGGTGGTTTGCACCCACCAGCTGCTCCACAGGAGAGCGATGTAACAGTCTGTGTCTGTAAAGACGACAGTCTCCAAAACTCTGTCTGCAATTCTCCTATAGGATGGCTCCTTGACTCATCAGCAACAGGTGAGGTTTGGAATCCCTTTTTGCAAGAATCAGTGATTGATCTTACAAAATTCTATCATTCAAAGACCTCTTTTGAAGAGCACAGGAGGTGACTTAAACACATGGACCTCACCAAATGGAATACACAGACATCAAATCTATTCCATCTGTGGAAAGATGGTGGAAAAGCTCCATATCTATCTTCAGCCAAAACAAAGCCAGGGGTAGACTGTGGAACAGACTATCAATTGCTCATATGCAAGGTAAGGTTGAAGCTGAATAAAATTAAAACAAGTCTACTACAACCAAAAGAAGGCCTTGAACATATCTCAACTGAATTTGGAGATCGTCTCAAGAACAAATTTGATGCATTAGAGACTAATGATCAAAAACCAGAAGAGTTGTGGGATGACATCAAGAACATTTTACAGTAAAAAAGCAAAAGGTCACTAAAAAGAACGAAAGACAAAACAGATGTTAGAAGAGACTCTGAAAGTTGCTCTGTAGCACTGATAGTAAAGGGAGTGGAGAAAATGAGCTGAACAGCTGCGTTCAAAGGGCAGCTCAAGAAGACAAACTATTGTAATGAAATGTACAAAGAGAGACCAGGAGTTAGAAAACCAAAAAGGAAGAACACTCTCAGCATTTCTCAAGCTGAAAGTTGTGAGAAAAAAATTCAAGCCTTGACTTGCAATATTGAAGGACTGAATGGGCAAAATAATGATACAAAGTCACTGTACCAAAAACAAACAAACAGACAAAAAAGGTCAATGTTCAACCATTTCAAGATGTAACAAATGATGAAGAACAAATGGTACTGAATAAAGAAGGCCAAGCTGCACTGAAGGCATTGGTGGAAAACAAGGCTCCAGGAATTGATGAAAGACAAATAGGAATATTTCAATAAACTGATGCGATTCTGACTCAGCGACCTTACCACAACAGAACGAAACATACCAAGGTCTTGCGTCATCCTTACCATTGTTTTGCTTGAGGCCATTGCCAAACCATTTCGTTGGGAGTCTTCCTCTTTTTCGCTGACCTTCCACTTTACCTAGCATGATATTCTTCTCTAGGGACCTGTCCCTCCTAATAATATGTCCAAAGTGTGAGAGACAACATCTTGCTCTCCTGGCTTCCAAGGAGAATTCTGGTGGTACCTCTCCCTACACAGATTGGTTTGTTCTAGCAATCCATGGTACTTTTCGTATTCTCCAACACTATAAAGTAAATGCATCAATTGTTCTATGGTGTTCCTTTTCCATTATTCAACTGTCACACATGCACATGAAGTTATTGGACATACCGACAATACCGTGGCTTGGGTCAGGTCCTCCTCAGTCCTCCAACTGGCACCTTGACTTTTGAGCACTTTGAATGCGTGTTGTGCAGCAGACCTGCCTAGTGCAATATGCTGTTGGATCTCTGACTGCTGCTTTCATGAGTGTTCAAGGTGAATTCAAGCAAAATGAAGTCTCTGACAACTTCAGTCTTTCTCCATTTATATGGATGTTGTTTATGGGTCCAGTGGCGAGGATTTTTGTTTTCTTTACATTGCGGTGCAATCCATACCGAAGGCTGTGGTCTCTGGTCTTCATCAGGAAGTTAAATTTAAGTCCTCTACGTTTCCAGCAGGCATGGTGATTTCAGCAAGCAAGTAGTGCTTAGTTCCTCATTACTTTTGTGAAAGTTTCAAACCAAATCCAGATCTCTTATTAATAATATTCAATACATGTGCTTTATTTAATGTCCTTTGCAAGTCCTCCTTCCCCTGGGGAACTAGAATGCACTGGGAAGAGTTTCCAGAACTATGGTTTGAGCATTCCCAAAAGGTCCTGGTGGCTACGTGTGTCCACAGTCTTCTAAGATGACTGACTCAGAGACAGACGTTCAGACCGCTCCCATTGAGAACTTCTTCCAAAGATGATGGTGTTCCATGCTCCCAGGTGATTGGAGACATTGTCTGCTGCCACTTGTCAGCTTGTTCAGCTTGAGGGTCAGTTGATAGAATACTGTTCTTTGTGAAAATGGAAAATTCAAGAAATTATAATATGCTTCTTGTGTGTTGAGTGCCTTCAAGTCGATTTCAACCCATAGCGACCCCTATATAATAGGGTTTCCAAGGAGCAGCTGGTTAGCTTGAACTACCGGCCTTGCAGTTCAAAAGACTGCAGTCTGATGCATTAGCCCACAGCAACACACCAGGACGCCCTTATAATGTGCCTTTGTTGTTGTTGTTGTGTGCTGTGGAGTCAGTTCCAACTCATATTGACCCTGTACAGGGGTTTCTGAGGCTGTAAATCTTTACCGGAGCAAAAAGCTTCATCTTTCTCCCGTGGAACAGTTGGTAGTTTCAAACTGCTGACCTTGCAGTTCGTAGCCCGATTTGTAACCACTACGCTACCAGAGCTCCTTGGATATGAGCCTAAAAAAGGACTTTGACTTCAAGAATCCATCAGTTTGTGAGTGGCTGTTTTTCCTGCTGTTGCTGAGCTATGCAGAGTAAGGAGAATGAGTGGTAAGATGCTACTGAGTCTGTGAGTGGGGGGGTGGGGGGGTGTATTGTCTCTAAGCTACAGATCATCCCTTACCAGCTGTAAGTCATGTGGGATGAGATGGCGTGGTCTGGGGCCCTGAGACATAGGAGGTCTGAGGACCATGCCAAGACTCCGGGAATGGTGGTCTCTGGCAAGTGAGATACAGACCTCAGCAATCCTAATACAGATCCCAACAGTGCTCTCCCCTCTGCTTCCTTTGCCCTTTCTTTCAGCAGACAGCTTCTGGAAGACATGAACTTGTAAAAAAATTCTGTGTCACAAAAGGCCCATCTGTTGGAAAGTGCTATTTATCAAGTCAGTTCCAACTCATAGTGACTTTGTATATATAGGGTTTCCAAGGAGTGGCTGGTGGGTTTGAACTGCAAACCTTGATGTTAGCAGTCCAGCGCTTATCCTACAGTGCCACACCATCTGTTGTTAAGTGCCATAGAGTTGGCTTTGAGCCATGGCAACCCTGCGTAGGTTTTCCGAGCCTTTCCATCTTCCAGGGAGCAGAAGCCTCACTTTTGTGTGTCACTGACTTGGTACGGAAGCCACGAGGTCTCAGTAGGGTCCTTTTAGGCTTTCCTCCTTTCTCACTGTCTCTTCCCCTCTGCCTGCCCCTCTGCTCATGGTTGTGCCATTGGGGCATCTCTGCCAGCGAGGGTGGGGACAGTGAGCAGGCAGCTCTCAGTTCTCTGTGAATTCTGAACACACGATGCATTCAGATACTCATTAAAGCATTCTCCTCTTGGCTTCCCATGAGGAGTTCCATAAAATGGAAAACAACGAATTTTTCATTGTTTTCTGATGATATTCACGAAGATTGAATTGCAAAGCATCAGTGTAAACGTTTAGGGGCAAAGTATTCTCCCAAATGGGAAATAAGAAAAAGATGTTTATCGAATTTGTCCGGTCTTCATTTGGATTATAACTGTGATTTCTTCAAGTTGCATTTGGAGCTAGAAATCTCAGCATCTGACCAAATAAGCGCTCGTCCCATGTGAGGCTGGTGCCCTGTGTGAAGCACTTCCCCTGGAACACGGAGACAGCCACCTCCAGGGTCACCTGCTGGTCATGCTGGATACACAGTTTC